CCATCTCAGTGAAATGGTTAAGTGCTGTCATTTTTATATAGCGAAACTATGCTAAATCAAGTGGATTATCGGGATAACCAACTCAACAGCCATAACTAAGTTGTTATCTCCGGTGGGGACATGGTATAAGTGATGTGGTTAAGTTCGATTTGAGATGGTTAGCTTTTTGGTGTGGACATGGTATAAACGTATAAATTTCAGCAAAATTCATGCCTGACTGATTGCCAGGTGGTCGATTTTGCTACGAACACATAAAAAACAAATCGCGGAAAGCCTCGAAATCTTGTTGTGGAGTTGTAATCTTAAAAATCTGAAGTCAGAAAATCGCCAAACGCTTGAAAAGCTTGTTGTGGAGTTGTACTCTAAAGAGCGTGTCAGACGTGGCAATATATTTCGATGCAATAAATTTCGGAAAGGCTGTCAAATTGAGAAATCAATTGCATGAGCAGTCACACCTTGCACGGAAAGTGTCTTTCGAAAGAGATTTTTATTTCCGAAAGGCGAATTGCAGGAAAAATTTCTGAAATCGCTTTTTGGCTATTCACACAGCGAATGAGTTTCTGGCTATCTTTCTCGATACAAAAAGCAACCATGGGCGGTGGGTGGGGTTCGTTTGTTTGCTATTTCTCTTGTAAAAGCGAGAACGAAATCGCGAAAAATGAATACTCGACGTAAGCTGCTGTTGAAAAACAATAATTTAACGATCAAGTATATTAATNTCAGGGCCACACGGCAACACTCGATTAGTTTGACAGCACTTGCAGAAGAAATAAAAATTGCTAGTGCAGCACGAGCAAGTTGAAATATATTTCCGAAATCGATATTCGCTCTTGCAGTTGCAGTCACACCTTGCAACTCTTATTTCTGAAACTGATTTCCGCAAAGTGACAAAAAGATCTTTCTGGCTGTTCACACATCGAAATAAAATTTCTCTTTCTCAATTTGACAGCGAATTGCGTGCGAAAGATGGAAATATTGCCACGTCTGACAGGCTCTTAAGTCTGTACAGTAAAATGAATTTTTATGCATTGCTAATTTGTTTTTTAGTTTATTAGCTGTGTTTTAGATTCACTAGATGTTATGTAATTTACATTTCTAATAAACTTGGCAACGAAAAAAGTAAAGTCTAAAAAACATTTGGTGGTTGTGGTTTTGGTGGGAAAAAGTGCTTTGGCAACACTGGTTGAAAGTGCTAACAGCTGGTAGTAATTCACCATGAAAAGGGAGGTGTAAATTATTTATTGCTGCAACATTTTTTCTCTTGTCATTTGTGTAGTTTTTTAGTATATTTATTAAAAAATATCTGGTAAAATTAACTATATGCCAAATATTCACTTATACAAAGTGAAAAGCCAGTCTCGACAATCAGGAATTGAATTAAACTAATTCATTTTGCGCAGTTCTACGTTGCTGCTATCCCAACTGCTGCAGACAATAAAAAATTGGTACCGGTTTGTTTATTAATTTTACATTTTACATTTGGGAACTATGTATACATATACATACATACATATCGTCGCTTAAAGTACAAAACCTCGTATCGTCATTCTGCAAAACCGCGTAACTGACATTTGCTGCCAAAAATTGGATTTGCTCACACAAGCTCTTGGCTCAATCCCTATCCATTCGTCCTTAAATATACTAGCCTGAAATGCGATTGCTTTATAAAATAGAGAACCATTTTGAAATATCAGTGTTTTTACTATAGAAAATAATGTATGCAACCTCACATACGCGGTTTTGCATTTTGTTGATACGCGGTTTTGTACTTTAAAGGACGATGTGTATGTATGTACATTTTATAATTTATGGAAGCGCACACGCATAATAAATATGCATGCATATGTTTGAATTTATGTAAATATAGAAAATTAGTGCAAATCTCAACTAAAATAAAATAAGGTGACCAAATGCATTTTTCTTTTCATCCATTTATTGGATGAAGAATTAAAAAACTTTGCAGATTTTTACGTCAAAGTTGACAAAACAACAACATATTCTATCTATTTTAAAGCCAAGGATCAAAAGTTTCGGAAAGTTTCAAAATTTTCTCGGCTTCAAAAAAATAAAAAATAAAATAAATCACAAACGGCATTTAACAGAAAGAAAAAAGAAAAACAAAAATACATAAAGACTTACAACTTTGTGAGCCTTGCTGGATTCTTGGTAATGGGGAAATTCAATGGATGGCTACGGTACTATAATTGCAAAAGTTACTAAGCTTAATGTCCCTCGAATATAATTTTAAAAAATATTTGCAAATTTTTTTGTATTTAATAGATAAGTTTCTTTTGGACCAGTATAAAGCCATACGCTATTAACACATTTATCCGAAATTCAAATTGCATGAGGATATCTGGAAATAGGAAGCCATACAAATTAAGAAAAAGTAGCTTTATCAGTTTTGTAGTTATGTTTTCCCAAAATAAATTGTTCTATTATGCGATACCTTAGTGGATAAGTCCAGAGATTAAGCATTAGCTTTTTATAAGACAGTTGGTTCTTAGTCTTGCCAACACGTTCATATGCGAATAGATACTTTAAGAAATATCGAATCTGATTATCTTGAATTTTTGTAAAATTCCTCATACTTCCATACCTAGGTATGTATGTATAAGATTTTCCATTATCGACATATAGACGGCTGAGTGGAAGATCGCTCTATCTTCGCTACCGATTCGACAGCGCCCTATCTCAGCAAACAGTAGAAAAAACGCCCTATTTCGGAATTGGGTTGAGGAACGCAAATGGTTCAAAAACTCCCTATCTCAGCTGCCGATATGTTTTGAATTTATATTCTGCCTTATCCTGAGTTTCGCCCAAAAATTTGTATTCCGCCCATATAAATGAATGTATTTTTTCTTGCATGGTTTGTAGGCAAGAAATAACATACATTATTTGTAACTTAAAACAAAAAACAAAAATAAAAAAGAAATGCACCAACCAACCCACCTAATACAAAAATAGATAGTGTAAGCGTTTAATTGAGGCGTTTGAGAGCTCTCAATACAAACGACAAGAGTTCATTGTTCATTATTGAACTAAAAAGGCTATAAGACATCGAATACTCATATGAAAAATTGTAAGGCGTAAAATGATAGATAAAAAATGAAAGCTTAGTACATACTCTCCTCATCCGCTTAAATCCTTGTGTGTACATACATACATATGTATGTATTAATGTGTGTATATGGTACGCACTTACATACATATGTATAAAATTGATTCTCTAAATTGGACCGCAAGCGTTCAATATTCAATCTTTCAGCATTATTGTTTCGACAGTAGACTTGGTGGGTAATTGAAGTGTAATTCAATTCCCCGACCATTTTTTTTTATATCGAAATTTGTTTAAAGAATTTATCCGCTTGCATTTAATTTTGTTAACTAATTTTTCTTGAAATTTATATCTATGTATTTTTCCTTAGGTGCATTTTGCCAACAACAACCGAATGTACGCCGGATCCGAAATGCCAGAATGTGAACGTGGTTATCAAAGCCTGGACCCAGCAAGTGAGTGGGGTTGATTACAAAACATTTAAAGCATTACGAATTTCTCGAACTCAATCAGAAGAAGTGCTTTTAACTGAAAAACTAATTAACTTTCTGGCTTTACTTATCCTTTATAAAAAAAAATAGAAAGAAGTTTACCAAAATCACAACCAAATGAACTGTTCACTTTTGCTTATAACTTCAAAGTAAAAAAAAATATATATATATATAAAAAAAATTTGTCAAAATTTAAAATAAAATTTCATAAGTGTATACTTACTAATTAAAATTAAATAAAAATTCTCAATCATTAGGCACTATGCTGCGGATTTCACCTAACGACAACATATACTTCAACCGGGGCGAGAACAGCGAAAGTGTAATTGATCTCACTTGTATTGGAAAGCAGCCGATTACCTACAAAGTCAGTACCTTTATACAAAAAAAAAATAAAAAATACATGCAGTGAGCTAAACAAGCTGGGACGCGACATTTTAGCAAGGTTTTGCCATTTTTCTTTGGTTTATTTAATGTTTATTATTTTTTGTGAAAGTATAGCTGACGCAATATGAATTCAAATTTCAGACTCTTTAGACAACATTTTGGTATCCAGTTTTGTAGCCCATTGAATTTTAGTATAATAAAGTGCAAATTTGAAGTATGTAGGACTTACCGTAGATTTTTGACCATTCTTTTTGTTGGCGGTGTTGCGCTTTTTTTTCATATAAAAAGAGTTGTCGAACATACATAATGCCGAATTTCCACTAGGTATTGAAATGACAAAAAATGCATGCCATTTAAAAAAAATGCCTTGTGTAAATGAACTTAATGACTACTTTTTTAACGTATTGACACGATTATTTTTTAATGCCCAACTTTGTGATTTGTCATTTTTGCCATTTCATGCCGAGTGGAAATCTAGCATAATATACATGTTATGTACTTTGGATTTACATGGCGTTTGCTAAGTATATAAAGGTAATAAACATTACTTAAACTAAGGAACAAGTAATTTTTAATCAAAAAACAAAACTGACCAATTCTCATATAAAAATGTAAGATTATCGTTAATTTCTTCATGATCGATCCAGTGATCGGATTTAAACCAAATTACTATGGGACCACCTGTGAGGTAACACCTCTCCTTTAAAAAAAAGAATTATAGAAATCTGTTAAAGTGGTAAGTTATGCGGTAACATACAAACCCAAAAAAGAAATCCGATGGATTGATAACCTCCTCCTTTTTTGAAGTAGGTTAAAAATAGGCAAAACTTACTTAAATGTCGCGTCCCAGTTTTTATTTTGTTCACTGTACACACACACATACATTTCTAATTTACTTTTATTCTCATTCAGATTCAAACAACAGCACCAGAAAAATTTCGAGTACGTCCTCGTTGCGGCTATTTGGCTCCGTCTGAGACAGTGTCAGTTAGCATTATGTTGAAGCAGGACTACCATTTGGGTGAATCGCCGAAAGATAAATTTCTCGTGATGTGTATGCCAGCACCTGTTGGTATTGAGCCATCACAGCAGAGCATGAGCGAAGTGTGGAAGCTAAAGCCTCCTAGTGGCGGTGATATGGAGCAGCATCGTCTAACCTGTAATTACAGAGGCAGTGCAAGTGGTGCAAGTACACCCGGTCAATGCGTCTGTGGACAGGCTGGAGGGCGTATTGGTGGCCCGGATGAAGGGATTGCATCGGGAAAGGGTTCCAACACTATTTTGGATGTGAGTACTATCGCCTATCTTCTTCTTTTTATTTGGCGCTGTAACCGCTTAAGCGATTTTTGCCGAGTTCAACAAAGCACGCCAGTCGTTTGTCTTCTGTGCCAACTGACGTCAATTGGAAATGCCAAGTGAAGTCAAGTCCTTCTC